CTGCAGCCAGCTGCAGCCTTTTTGAGCCTCTTCGTATCACCTCTCCTTCATCCTTCCAAACAAATCATCAGACTCACAGAGCTTCTGAAGCCATTTCCAACACTGACACTGACCTTACCTAACCCTTGACCACAGGTCTTCAGATACCCCCCATCCTTAGCCTTACCAGGACCACTTTTCCTACCCACCTTCCTCATCACCTCTAGCCTTGCTGTGCCTGCTTCACCCCGCTCTCCCTTCCAGTAGAAGACAGGGCAGTCCAGCCTATATGTGTTTGGTACCCGAAATTGTGTTCCTCAGCAGGAGGAGGAAGTTGATTGCCCATGTCTTGTGTCTCCTGGGCCTATGACTCTTTCTTGTTCCCAGAATCAAAGTTTGCATTGATGGAGGAGGAGACTTGTGTGAGTCTGCAGCTTTTGCTCAGCACTCTGCTGGACTTCTGGAAGTAAGCAAAAGAACGATTTCCCTCCTCATGAGGCATCCAGTTAGTTCAGCGCAATGAACAGTAGAGACAGTGCTGGGGAAGCTAGGATAGCAAAGGGGGAGAAGATGGGAACAGATCTGGGCCCGGAAAGGCTGGGAGGATTGGACAGGGGTGAGTAGAATTCCTGGAGGAGGAACTCCCATGTGCAAAGACATGAAGTACAAGTGAGTCCAGTTATTGACTGTGTTCAGCCTAAGGAGACAGATCCCCAGGACCTTGCCCTCTAGGTCCTCCCAGTCTAGATAAGATTCAGAACAGCCTCCATGTCTTGGAAGATACAATGTGCCTGTGAGAGAAACAGGAACCAGACCTTGGTTGGGATAAGTCACTTGTGACCTGGGTGATTTGCCAAAACTTTCCTGGAGGAGATGGCAGTGGTGCTTGGCCCTGGAGAACCAAGGGGTGGGGTTCCTTTAGGCCACTGAGGACTTCTGAGCTGCCCATTGGGGATTGGAGGATGGAAGAGGGGAAGAATGCTGGATTCCCATGAGGACAGGGAATATTGCTTGCTGTTTGGTGTGTTTTGGGGAAGAGACTGTGGAGACTGCTTTGGAGGTTCAGGGTGGTGTGGCCAGAGTTCAGGATCAGAAGGCCCAGAGATGGATGAGGTAGAATGCGTTTCAGTGAGGGCTGCAGAAATGGAGCCCCATGTCAGGGAGGCAGGATAAAAGGCTGTGTGGTAAGTTGGTTCCTATTGCCTTCACACTCCCCCATCTCTTAGGGCCCACCCCTCCCCTCCCCCACTCCCAATTGGGACACTTCCCCTGCTCTAACTGCCACAGAGATCTGGCAATCAGGCAATCCTCTGCTTCCTTTCCCTCCCCACTTCTGGGCCGGCCTGAGGCACACCCCAAGACAAGGTCCCACTGGGTACAAGCTGTGCTCCAGGAACCACACTCAGAGTTAGGTCCCCATGGGCTGTGCTCCCCTAGGCTGGGCTCCCTGCTAGAGTCAGGTCAAGCTGATACTGCGAAGAGAGATTTTTTGCCTATACCAGTCAAAGTTTTTGGCTGCCACTGCTGTCCAAAAAGATTCAGTATTGCTGTGTTGGCCGTGGGAGTGTTAGTTCAATTCTAGGCTTTTGCGGTAACTGTCCAGATCTCAGTAATGGGGCAGAAGCAAGCAGATCAGAAGACAGTGGTTGCACACTCCTGTGTTCTCAACCCTGTGCTCAGTTTTTCTTTTTAATATATTTTATTGATTTTTTACAGAGCGGAAGAGAGAGGGATAGAGAGTTAGAAACATCGATCAGCTGCCTCCTGCACACTCCCTCCTGGGGATGTGCCCACAACCAAGGTACATGCCCTTGATCGGAATTGAACCTGGGACCCTTCAGTCCGCAGGCCGACGCTCTATTCATTGGGCCAAACCGGTTAGAGCTGTGCTCAGTTTTTCTGTAGAAGAGTTGAGGGATCCTCAAGCTCCAGTATTGGGGAGGCATCCAAAAACTAGGAAACTTATGTATGACTACGGGGGTAGAGAATCACAAGGAGCCCAAGAAGGGTTAAAAGTATTGGCCTTGCTATGGAAGTTCAAAGAAAGGAGAAGTTAGTAGCCTCATGGGGTTCTGAAGCTCTGAGGTTTAAGCTAGGCCTTGAGGAGTCAGGAAGATTCTAGAGGCAAGAGGGAATGGGAGAAGATGGAAGAACAAGAGTAACAGTTCAGAGGCAACAATCATCCTGGTTTGTTTAAGAGGACAGTGAAGACCCCTCTGGAGCAGGAAGCTGGGGACTCACATTTGCAGAGTACCTGCATTTACACATATATTGTACATTAATGCACTTAATCCTTATAACACCTTACGAGGTGTTATTACTTATAAGTGGCAGAACTAGGATTTAAACTCAGGTCTAGCTGACTCTAAAATCCCTACCAGAGTATGAAGAACTCTGAATGCCAGGATGAGAGACTAGGCATGCTCTTAATTAAGTTAGGAATAAAAAGTCATTGTAATTTGGCTAATCATATACAGATCTGCGACCATTAATTTACTTACTAAATAAAAGTTCTTTTTGTTTTTATTGATTTCAGAGAGGAAGGGAGAGGGAGAGAGATAGAAACATCAATGATGAGAGGGATTCATTGATCGGCTGCCTCCTCCACGCCCCCTACTGGGGATCAAGCCTGAAACCTGGGCATGTGCACTGACCAGGAATCAAATCGTGACCTCCCCGTTCATAGGTCGACACTCAACCACTGAGCCACGCCAGCAGGAGCCAAAAGTTCTTTTTATAAAAGTCATCTAGTAAAATAAATAAATAAATAAACAAATAAATAAATAAATTTTAAAAAGTCATCTAGTAAGTCACAGTTAACTCTAACCTCAAGCAGGCCACTCTTCTTATTTGGCCTCCTGCAGCATTGGCTGTTCCTTCTTCCTATGTGGCACAGGTTAGACCCTACCCTCCTCAAATGGGCTGTGGGAACCTATTTGATCCAGTACAGGTCATAGGGTTTCCAAGTAAACATTTGTCCTGGGAGAGGGGATACGCTCTGGGATAAAGTACTAGACTGATGCCACCACTCAGACACCTATGTATTCAGTGCTTCCTGCCTATTGGGATGAAAGGCTTTGCTTCTGTGGGCACAACCTTCCAATCACAAAGCACATTCATTCCCATGCTGCTGCTGCCCTTTGAGTTAGGGAAGGCAAGTACTGTCATTCCTTCTGTACAGTTAAAGAAACTGAGGCTCCGGGAAGGGAAGTGACCTACTTGCTCAGGGTCACAGAGCTGGCTAGTAAGGGGTAATGTGGAGGCTGTGTGATGCATTGAGGAGAACACAGACTTTGGATGGCAAAACGGGTTTGTGTCCTGACTCCCAGGCTAACTGGCTGTGTGACACGGAGTTACTTTATGAGTTTGTTTCCTTATCTGTAAATAGACATAGTACCAATGGGTTGTTATAAGGATCAAATAACAATGCCACGTGATCTATGAAGCGTTGTACCTTGTGAGGGCTTTTTATCAAAGGCCAGAGTCAGCAGGTGAACCCAAGAGGCCACATTCCGGAGTTTGCTTCTCTGCCCTGTACCACAGTGCCCCTGCTCTGCTTGTTTCTGGACACTACCTCACTCATGATCCTTTTCCGGTGTCAGTGCTGTTCCCTTGCCAGCCCGGAAGCTGCTGCCCTCTCCCTCCCCACTCCTTTGAGGGCTGATTTACTGATCGTGGGTTGATAACCACCTCCCTAGAGAGCAGCCTGGAGCCACTGAACTTCCAGTCTCTTGGGCCTTGTGACTGTTGTCCAGAGCTCCCTTCTTGTCTTCCTGCCTGGGCCAACCCAGTGCTGGGCCTGTGGGGGAGGAGTTCCCAGACATACTACCACACCCATGCCCCGACTCTGTAGAACTAAAGATTTACAGGCCCAGGAGTTGTCTCAAAATGCTAGGGTCTCCCAGGTAATTCAGGGGACATAAGTAACAGCACCAACCCCTGCAACATGCTCTCTCCTTTCCCCAAGGGAGGAGCCACAGAATCCTAGAAGAATGTGTCTTAACTTGCCCCCATGTATGCAGGTCTTATGCATTTGCTGACTGACTCAGGCCCCAACCCCACCCCCACACCACCCCCTGCCTTTCCTACTCCCATCATTCTATCCCCTGCTCCCAGGGCTCTTCGTGTCTCATTTCATCTATCTACTGCCCTTGTCACAGGCAGTTTTCTCTCCATTTCATGGACTGGGAAACTGAGGCCTGGGGAGGGTAAGCGCCTCACGCTTGGTTTCAGTGAGTCAGCAGCAGAACAGAGCTGGGGTTAGAACTTCAGTCTCTTGACTTCCAGTCTGAGATCCTCTCCACTGCCCTGTAGGATCCTTTACTCCTACCTCGACCCATTTCCTGAGGCTATCATCTGTCCTGAAGTTGGACACAGACACTTATTCACACAAATAAGATAGAAATGTTTTCATGGGAACCAGAGACAACCTCATAGAATGAAACCATTTCCCTCCCAGCTGGTCCCAGGGGAAGCTGGAGCTTGGGAGGAAGCTTGGACCAACTCTGGGTCCTGTGCAGGTCCACACCAACAGAGTTCCTTTTTGCCTCCCAGTGGGATCTGCCCCCTATCCACAGTTTGATTTTTAAGGCTTCTGAACCAGTATTTGAGAGGTCAGGCAGAGAGTTAAGGGGTTTTCAGACTAGGGTGAAGTTTTGCAGTGTATATAAAGCGAAATGGAGAAAAATGGGCCAGTGGTGATGGTGCTTGCATGGAGCAAGGGATATTAGGATATCTGGGTGTGTCTAAAACAGACTAGCCAGTGTGGTTCAGGTGGTTGGAGAAGTGTCCTATGCACGAAAAGCCTCGGGTTCGATTCTTAGTCAGGATACATAGCCAGGTTGCAGGTTCAATCCCTAGCCTTTTTGGGGCGTATGCAGGAATCAACCAATCAATGTTTTTCTCTTACATTATGTTTCTCTCGTTCTCTCCATTCCCCACTCTCTAAAAATAAATAAATAAAATAAAATTGGCTATCCCCTCCTAGGATGCAGGGACCTGGTTGTGAGAGTCGGGGAAAGGAAGTCACATACTGGCCAGCAAAAGTCCCTCATGACCAAGAGGAAGTAGCCAATGAGAGGAGAACCTTTGCCACAGCAGTATAAATAATCACAGGGTTTCCGGAAGCTCTGTTCTTTCCAGAACTCAGAGCAGTTCCTCACCCTGAGGCCCTGTGAGCTGCAAAGGGGACAGGGGTAATGGTTGGAGCTGGGACTCTTTCTTTCATACCTCACTAATTACAGCAGCCCATTTATTTGGTACTTCCTATGTGCCGTGCCTCAGGCCAAACACTTTCTAGACATTGGCTCATTTCATACTCTGAACAATTTTAACACAATAGGCAAGATTTCCCCCATTTTACAGATGAGGAAACTGAAGCTCAGGAAACTTAGTATGTTGCCCAAGATCATACATGACTAGTTGGTGGAGCTGTGAGGAGAATCTCTGCCAATCTGACTCCAGCATATGTTCTCAGTGATAGAGCTTTAGTGGCACTGTGTTCTCTACCCAAGAGTCTGGAAGCCCCTGAAATTCTTCAGAGGTATGTGCCATGGTCTCAAAAAAGTGACAGAAAAGTAAGGGGGAAATCAAGGTTTTGTTTTATTCTTCTGTTCATCCCTCTTGGGTGGGCTTGGAGGATCTGCCTCACCCCACCAAGGATCTCGAGAGAAGATGCTGATGTCTAGGAGCCACCCCTTTGCCTCATTCATGATTACATATTCAGATTCACACTAGATCCCAGCCTTGGCCCAATCTCCCATATTCCCCTGCACTGAGCTGCCAGCCTGGATATGTGTGGCCAAATAGGGTTCACTATGCTTACAAAAATAATGGGATTAGCTCACTCCTTTTCCCTCCCCAGGGTACTCTGGATTTTGATAGGGCATCTGTCTAGAGAATTGTGCTCCTTGCTCAGCAGGTTTCTTATTGCACCTTTTGGGTTGTACTCAGTAGCCAAGATATGGGGTTTGGAGTTGAAACATCAGTGCACTGGGCGGGGCTGGCCCTGAGTTGGGAGAGGTTCCCACACATGGCTGCATCTCAGAGTGACGTGGCACAGCGCCCTGTGCCAGAACCCCTCTCCAGTGTACATAGTGGGAGGGATCCATACCTAGTAGAGGGTCTGTATGTTGATCCCTACACCTGTACACTGCCCTTTTGTGCATATACTGCCTGGAGGAAAAATAAAAGTAGCTAATACTTATTGAAGGCACTGTTCTAAATGTTTTACTGTGTTACCTTATATAATCCTCTTAATAATCCAATGAAGTAGGTATTATTTTATTCCCATTTTACACATAAGAAAACAAACCCACTAATCAACAACTAATAAGCAGGGTCACACAGCTAGTAAATAGCAAAACTAGGATTTGACCTTAGTTGGTCTGGCACCAGAATTTATGTGCTCCACATAATATATTTACATATTGTAGCACCAGCCTCCTTACACCTGAGCATCTTTGCGTGACCTCAGGGCCTCTCTTTATTGTGTATCTGTCTCCCTGAGGTCTGTCCTGATGGGATTATAAAATGGTATCAGGTTAAGAAAACAGAAGGTCATTTCCCTCTGTGTGCCCCCATTCTTTCATCCCAAGTGTCCTGACCAAGTGTCCCTCTCCTCTGTTCATAGGTCATTGCATCCAGAGGGGCCCAGAAGGGGAAGGAGGCAGTGCCTCCACTGAAGCAGCTGCACCCACAATGCAGAGCATAAAGTGTGTGGTGGTGGGCGATGGGGCTGTGGGCAAGACATGCCTGCTCATCTGCTACACAACTAACGCCTTCCCCAAGGAATACATCCCCACAGTGTTCGACAATTACAGCGCCCAGAGCGCAGTTGATGGGCGCACAGTGAACCTGAACCTGTGGGACACAGCGGGCCAGGAGGAGTATGACCGCCTCCGCACTCTCTCCTACCCTCAGACCAACGTCTTTGTCATCTGTTTCTCCATTGCCAGTCCACCCTCTTATGAGAATGTGCGGCACAAGTGGCATCCGGAGGTGTGCCACCACTGCCCTGATGTGCCCATCCTCCTGGTGGGCACCAAGAAGGACCTGAGAGCCCAGCCTGACACCCTGCGGCGCCTCAAGGAGCAGGGCCAGGCGCCCATCACACCGCAGCAAGGCCAGGCACTGGCCAAGCAGATCCATGCTGTGCGCTACCTCGAGTGCTCAGCCCTGCAGCAGGATGGCGTCAAGGAAGTGTTCGCTGAGGCTGTCCGGGCTGTGCTCAACCCCACACCGGTCAAGCGTGGGCGGTCCTGTGTCCTCTTGTGACCCTGGCACTCAGCTTGGAGGCTGCCCCTGCCCCCCCACCAGTTGTGCCTTGGCGCCTTGTCTGCCCCCAGCTGTGCCTTGTGCCTTAAAGACTAATTCTGGCACCCCTTGCCAGGGGGCTCCCTGAATGCCTGTTTCTCCTTGAGGAGGCCCACAGGGAAAGGGGCTTTGGGTCCCAATCTGCTTGGGAATACCAGGTATTCTTGAGAGCTCACCCAGGCCAAGGTTGGACCCTTCCCCAAGAAGCCAACCCAGTGCCCCTCCCCATTTTTCCCTACTGACCAGTTGATCCAGCTTTCCACACAGAGGTTGCTGCCTATTGTGGTGCCTTCTCTCAGGTTAGGAGCTCTTAGCCATCCCTAACCTCTCCCTTGCTGCTCTTCGAATTGCTCCCCCCTCAAGATGCTCTCTCCCTTGCCCAATGAAGGAACCACAAAATCCTGAGAAGATGAATGTGCCCTAACTTGTCTCCATGTGCCCAGGCCTTACGCATTGCTGACTGACTCAGCCTCCCACCCCACCCCCCATCAGCTCCTACCCCCATCAGCATCAATAAAACCTCCTGTCTCCAGTGGCCCCGGCTCCTCCCTGTGTGCTGGACATTGGGGGTTGGGCAGGGGACAGGCATGGGCTAGGGCTCCCCAGAGACTGGGAGCCTTTTGTTTCCTGTAAGAGGGGACAGAAGACAATAGGCTTCATTGTGGTCCCCCTACCCCCCAATTTCTCTAACAAAGCTCTGGACTCCCTTGGAGGGACCAGTTTTGCTATGGGGCCCAGCCACAGATTCTGTAGTGGACTGGGATGCAAAGGACAGGTTCAGAAAGGGAGAGGTGGAGAGCCATCAGCCTGCAGGCAGGTGTTCTCAGTGGTCTTGCATCTGAGCTGTTTACATCCCCAAAGGGAAAAATCTTAACTAACAGTTGGGGCTAGAACTCAAGCTTTACCTCCACCCAAGACTCCCAGGTATCTCAGCTTCCAGGCCTGGAGTCATTACAAGGATAGCTCGGTTACTTCTCACCAAAATTGGGGCTTAGATCAGCCATAGGAGACTCTAGGCCTAAGGAGGTAGTGGGGCACCATGTGGAATTTATTCCCTCCATCCTTGGAGCTTGTCCCTTACCTCGGTTCCATAAGAGATAAGCCCAAAGACAAGCAAGCCTAGCCCAGATTGTTGGCAAAAAAAAATAAATTTATTTTCCTTTGAAATAAAATGCACAATCAAAAGAGCTCAGAGCCTGGGATAGTAGGGAAGTTGGGGAAGGGGCACCAGTGGGGGTTGGCATCTGCCTCTGGCCCTTCCACCCCACACTTTTGCCAAGGAGGATGAGTCTGTAAGCCAGAGATTTCAGAAGGGAAGAGAAACATATGCTGTGCCAGTGCTTTTTCCGGAGCAGTCAGCCTTCGGGTACAGATCACCACCTCCACAAGGTGGTATCAGAAGCACAGGCTGGCAGAGCCCTTGGAAATCATGCAGCCTGCTCACCCCCCATCATCAGAGATGAAGTCAGGACTAGACCATCCGGGCAGCCTTAGCAGGGTGTGCAGAATAGATTATTAGAGACATGAGCCAAGTGAATGACCACAGGAAGACAATGGCTGTGGTTTTCAGGTGGCAGCCACTGCTTAGTGGTCCCTGACCTCAATGAGAGGTGGCTATCTTAAGGCCAACAACCGGATGGTGGTTATGAACCTCAGGACTTTTTTTTTTTTTAGCACCAGATGGAGCTCTCCTGCCACCTCAGCTTCTTGGGGCTTCTCAGGTAAGGGTGATGCTGCTTGAAGGTTCCTATACCTTCACATGGGGTGAAAGGAGATGCCGTAGAGTTGGGTAAAACCATGTCCTGTACCCTTCTTCCTTTCTTCTTCCCTCCCCCCCTTCAGTAGGGCCCAGAGAGGACACAAGGAGTAGGGAAGGCCAGAGTGGTTATCTCGTTTCTAGTTTCTGGGCAGTGGGCCTTCTCTGCAGGAGAGAAGGGTTTAGAACCGCTTTTCCTCAGGCAGGGAGGTAATGAGAAGCTCCTTGTTCCCGAAGTCCCACCAGGCTGTCATGTGGAATGCCATGTTGGTTAAGACAACAGTGTATTCCAGGATGGCAAAGATGGTGTACACTGTTTTGAGGACACAAGGAAGGGCATGGTGAGCTTACTGTCCCCACCTTCCCCCTGACCTGGGGCCTCCTGATAAATCACCACCACTACATCACTACACAGGGAGCACACCACCATACTGCACACTATAGGAACCACAATTGTCCTGTGACCATCTATGGATCCTAGCCTGGCCTCACCTCCAGCCTCACAATACATGTTGTGCCGAAAGTAGACTGCCAGCGCCGTGAAGAAGGAGAGGAAGTTGATGATGAAGAGCCGCTGTTTCCAGTTGTAGGACTTCTGATCCTAGAGGATAGGCTGTCTGATCACTCTGCAGCTTGTTGGATATGTGTCGGTGGCCTCTCCTGTTAACCCCAACTCTAAGGACCAGTCTCCCCAACCTTGGTCATGGAAGGGGGCACAGGCAGGGGCAGTAGGAATGATGGGCATGTTGACATCCCTGCATTTGGGGTATAATGGGGCCAAGGAGCAGTGGTGTCCCTGCCCCTCCCACTTTGGGAAGATGGAATATGAAAGTTAGTTGGAGTCAACCAACCAACCAACCCAACACCTCCAGATACTGGGAAGAAAAAAGGTGTATGTGTGATGGTGGTGGGGGGGTGGGGTGGGGTACAACTGTAATTATTATAGAACACAGACCCTGACACGTCTTCCTAACCCATGCCCCTCATTCTACTCCACTTAGAGCCTCCATCTCGTCTCTCCTCCAGTCTCCCGTACTACCCAATTCTGACCAGTTACCCTCCCCTTATCCTCAAGTCCCAGCCTCAGCCAAGATTCCAATTAGTACTCCAGTTCCCACCTCACCATTAACCGCATCCAGAGGACAGGTCTCCTTGATGGTCCTCTGTGCACCTGGAGCCCCAGGTCTACCTTAGGGGTAGACCATACCTCCTGACTTACTGTGTGCTTCTTGGTCAGCCGCCAGATAATACAGGTGAGGAGCATGTGACTGAGGGATGCTGCGATGAACACAATGAAAGCGTTTTCGTGGATAGCTGGAGGGAGAGAGGAGGGTTGGGAGCACTCATTGCAGGGAGCACCCGAACTCTACATCTGAAAGTCGGAGTAAGGGAGGGGCAGGGGCATCCCCTCCCAGAACCCTTCCTTCCCCACTCTCCTTCCCTCCTCAGGTCACCCACTGAAGTCCTCGGAAGAAGAGACATAGGTGAGCACTAGCAGCGCGAGGTTCTCGATGATGTTGAGGCCGAAGTTGAGCTGGCAAAGCAGTTGGTAGCTAGGACACGGGGAGGTGCAGCTGAGGTAGTGGTTCCAGTAGGCGAAGGCCACCATGAAGCGGGGTGCTGAGTGCAGGCCGATGCAGAAGCGCCACACGTAGCGCTGGGGCACCTCCCCACCAATGGCAGAGCTCACCGAAGGCAGGTAATTGGGCACCTGGAGAGTTGTGACCCATGTGGGCACTGGCCCTCACCACACCCCCACACCTGGAGATGCTTCTCTCCATCTCATCAACCTGGCCCTCAGAAGGCTGTGCTCCAGAAGGCATCCTTTAGGTACCCACAGAGCTCTCCTTGGAGACCTCCCTTTTCAGGTCCCAGCTCCCCAAAGTGCTTGGTTCTCATGCCCCAGCCAGGGGCATATGTGACCTCCATCTCCCTACACATGGAACCTACACATGACGAGGAAAAGCTGCAGACAGGCTCAGAGACTCTCTGAGTCAGTAGTGGAAGGCCCTGTGAGAGGATCCATGAACCCAGGACCCCAGATTCAGTCCCACGACAGGGATGGGTCAGAGACCATCTGAGCTTCCTTGGGACAGTGCTGGATTCACTGCCCAACTGAACTGTTCCCCTGACTGTGCCTAAGTGGTAGAGGTACTGTGAGATACTGGGGGAGCCGCCCAGAAGGGAACCCTCACCCTGATCATGTGTAAGAGTGTGATGCTCCTAACCTGTGGTAGTCACCCTGATCTTGTACATCTCTCCCATCCATCTTTCTCAAAAACGGGTTTCCTCATTTCGTAAGGAATTGGAGCATAAGTTTTTCAACTTGAGGAAGGAGGAGGAGATAATACACAGCTGCAAGGATTGCTGTGTTGCTTGTATGGGAGGATGAGAGGGTGGGAGATGAGTAACAGTAGCTTCTATGGGGACAAGAAAGCCAGGAGGAGGCTCTCTTGGACTCGAGGGCCTGGAATTGCTTCTCAAACTTTAATATGGATATAACTCACTGGGGACTGTGTGAGAGTGCAGAAGGTCTGGAATCTAAAAATCTGCATTTCTAAAAGATTCCAGGACTCTGGAACCTACCAGTCTGTTGCCCACTTTTCATGGACTTTTTTTAGACTTTCAATAAGGGCCAGAGCAGTGCCAGAGCCTAGAGAGGGAATGGCCCTGCTGCGATTATGGTGGGACCAGTCTTCAGAGATGGAGTTCTGCGAGATCCCTTCCTTTTTCCCAATGGAAACACTGACTGGGTCTCCAAAGCAGCTAGTCAGGTAGGCATGATGGAGGCAGCTCACAGGGCAGGGATGGGTCTAGAGAAGCACCAACCAGAGGCTTCGTAGCCTTCACAGCAAAGAAGATGGAGTCCCATCAGCACTGTCAGAGGAAACTAAGGGCAAAGCTCTCAGAGAGAGGGTGCTGCTCTCAAGGCCAGGGCTGGAGATACCATAACTCGAGACCAGGCTCAGATGTTCGCTCTGCGTATTCAGTGAAGGGGCAGCATGGAGGCTTTAGAGACATACAAACCTGGGTCTGCAGCCAGCTCTGCCTTTAGTAGTTGGGTAACCTTGAGCAAGCCACTTCACCTCTCTGAGCTTCAATTTCCTCTTTGACAAAATAGGGATACTGCTACCTATCTTACAGGGTGATTGTGAATATTAAATATAATGTATGCAAAGCCTCTGCAGTATCTAGGACAGGGAATGGCTTCCAGACGACAAACTTCCCTGAAAAGCCTGCAAACAGGTGGTGAGCTACTGTGTGACTATTAATCATGAGATGGCCTGCGGATGAGGGAGAGGTGTGAGGCCTTCACCGGACGCTTCTGAGACCTCCAAGCCTCCTTATTTGACTTTTCTGCCTCTCTGAGTAGGTCCTCTGAGTAAGGTTAGTGGGAGTGTTGCCTTTACTTCCTAGAGTATCCATTCTGAAAACTCCTGCCACAATCTCAGCTATTTAAGAGGAACAGGACCAGCCTCTAAAGCTTGGACGGAAGAGCCCAGTGCATTTAAGGGCTCACACCCCCGACCAATGCTGGGAAACAGGTAAAGAGTAGAGATGGCAGAGCTCGGGAGACGGGAGACGCCTCAGAAGGAAGAGAGAATTAGGGCCCTGTGGCTGCCCATCCTGTTCTCACAAACTCTACCCAGGGATGAGGGCAGAGTTCTAAGAGCAGG